CAGGGAAAGTACTGCAATGGATCAGGGAATAGCTGTCGGGAAGAAAACAGCAAGTCATGGTACGTGGCAAGGTGTCAGAGTGGGCACCAGTAACGAGCAGGGTGCCACAGGGATCAGTCCTAGGACCAGTGCCGTTTCTGGCATTTGTGAACGACATGACGGAAGGAATAGACTCAGAAGTGTCCCTGTTTGCAGATGATGTGAAGTTGATGAGAAGAATTCAATTGGATGAGGGCCAGGGAAGAACTAAAAATGCATCTGGACAGGCTGCAGGCCTGGTCCAGGAACTGGCTCCTGGAATTCAACCCTACCAAGTGCAAAGTCATGAAGATTGGGGAAGGGCAAAGACGACCGCAGACAGAGTACAGTCTAGGGGGCCAGAGACTACAAACCTCACTCTAGGAAAATGATCTTGGGGTGAGTATAACACTGGTCACATCTCTTGAGGTGCACATCAACCAAATAACTGCTGCAGCATAAGGGCGCCTAGTAAACCTAAGAATAGCATTCCGACATCTCAATAAAGAATTGTTCAGGACCCTGTACACTATGTATGTTAGGCCTATATTGGAGTATGCAGCACCAGTTTGGAACCCACACCTAGCCAAGCATGTAAGAAAATTAGAGAAAGTGCAAAGGTTTGCAACAAGACTAGTCCCAAAGCTAAGGGGAATATCTTATGAGGAGAGGTTAAGGGAAATTGACCTGACAACAATGGAGGACAGGAAGGAAAAGAGAGGAGAGAGAGACAGAGAGAGAGAGAGGACAGAGAGAGAGAGAGAGAAGAGAGAAGAGAGAGAGGAGACAGAGAGGAGAGAGACAGAGAGAGAGAGAGAGACAGAGAGACAGAGAGAGAGAGAGAGAGAGAGAGAGAGAGAGAGAAGAGAGACAGAGACAGAGACAGAGAGAGAAGACGAGAGAGAGAGAGAGAGAGAGAGAGAGAGAGAGAGAGAGAGAGATATGATAACGACATATAAAATACCAAGAGGAATTGACAAGATGGACAGACAGGTGGTTCCAGAGAGATAGGACACAGCAACAAGAGGTCACAGTTGGAAGTTGAAGACTCGGAAGAATCATTGGGATGTCAGGAAGTAATGAAGTGGAGGCAGGATCCATACATAGCTTTAAACCGAGGTATGATGAAGCCCAACCCAGCTCCTCCCCCCCCACACACAAAATTGGAAGACTCCAATGAGTCAAGGGGATGTTAGGAAGTATTTCTTCAGTCCTAGAGGTGTCAGGAAGTGGAATAGCCTAGAAAGTGATGTAATGGAGGCAGGAACCATACATAGTTTTAAGACAAAGTTTGATAAAGCTCATGGAGCAGGGAGAGGACCTAGTAGCGATTAGCGAGGAGGGGCTAGGCGACTCAACCCCTGCAACCACAAGTAGGCAAGTACGCGCGTGCGCACACACATGCTGCTCTAATACAACAAGTAATAATTACTATGTACTGTACTGGTGTTACAAGAGGAAAATATAACTGAATAAAGTGCCAACTGCCGTAGTACTAATAATGTAATCATTGCTCTTGTTTTATTAATGTTAACTAAAAAATTAGCACAAGGAAATACCAGTCATTCAGGATGGATGCTTGAAAGGAATGAAAGGCACATACCTATAAAAAATTTTTTACCAGAGAAGCATTAGAAAAATTTCTTTGACATGTTTAGTCAAGATGTGAAAACTGCACACTACATGGCTAAGACACTTACTCAGAGCAACTATTTCAGTTTAGTGTATTCTCTGTTCCATTGTAAATAATTATTCACCAATTGTAATTACTTTTCTTTAGTCAAACCTAAATCTAGACAAAAAAGGGGAATTTAGCATGGCTTAACAGAAACTGATGCCCTATCATGAAGGAACACTGGAAAAAGAAAAAAAAAAAATTTTTTTTTTGCCCAATGGGGCAAATTTATTTCAAAAATCACTTATCAAGTAACATGGCTTTCTAGCATTTAAAATTTAATGAACCCAAGCAATAACTAAAAATATAATCAAACAATTCTTGTATCATGTTCTATTAAAGAAAAAGAAATGCTGCCCCTTTTTTCAAAGTCCCTCTTGCTTGACAAGAAAATGGAAAGTGTACACTTACTGACAAACTAAGAAATTTAGTGGAATTTATGTTGTAGTGAATAAAATATGGTAACGTGAATGGATGCAGCAAGTACTGACAGTTTTGTACTGATAGAGTAATGGGTATCAGAACACTACATAAAAAATAAATGTATCTTTATCCAAATATTAATGTAAATTTTCACTTTACAATAAAAATTGACTTCCATTGGAACCAATTAAATCAAGTAAAATTCAACAGGATATAACAGACAATACATATATAAAGCTGCAATTTAATACAGTATTAAACAAGTACAAAAAATCTGACTACCTTTAAAATGGCAATATACTGTAGTACTTTCATTAAAAAGGATGGGTATTTGAGCAGTGTTCAATCTATTTTGAACATATATCATGTAGCAAATACTTACTTTTACAATATACTCCAGATATACTCATTTTCATGTGGTATATATTTGATATCTGACTAAAATCTACTAAAAAACTAACTGATATAGAAACAAAAATGCTTTTGAAATTAAAACATTGTATAGACAGGTAATTTATTATAATCCACTAAACAAAACAGTATTAATTTAGTGGTCAGTAAATGATTATGACTTTCTTACAATGCACTTCAATTATTATAATAAAAAAAAAAGCACTAAACCTACAAGGGTCACAATGCACTTAAAGATTTCCTATCTACAACAGGGCAGTATTAAAATAACCATGAAAACTTTTTTCCTGTGATTTAATAACTAATAAAAAAATAATAAAATAAATTATAAGCTTAATGACTATAACATTTCTCCCAAAACATAAAACAAAAGTTAGAATACTACTAGTAATAATGATATATTGTCTACCTTTGCACTTTTAAATACTTATCCAAACTGATTTATCCAGAGGAAAGAAAGTTGTACACTAACCTGGATGTAAAATCAAACAATCCAATTTAAGGAAATAAATTTTTTGTTATTTCTTAGTGATAATAAAGGCAAGGGCAAGAGTAATTCTATAAGCTGGGAGAAAGAAAATCCTCACAAGCAAAGATATAGAATGATTGTGGCCATTATGTTATGGTTTGAGTATCTTGTACACTGGATAGAGGGAAAAACAACTGGGTCACACTAAATGAAGATAAAGCTTAATTTAGTCAGCTACAAACCAAGTACTCTTTGTGCTTTATAATTTACTTAAAACCAATTCAATATGGTAGGGGTATAATTTCAAGATGTGGAAAAATGCATATACTCACTATCTGATCAACAACACATCCATCTACTGATAATAGAAAATGGTTGTACATGTTTTAGTATTAATGCTACACATTTGTTGAATGAAAATCTCTCGCTTTACATATCCGACACTTCTGATTACTAGTGGTAAAAGTTCACAAGAATATGGTAAATACTTCACAGACAATTCCCACATCAATGCACTATACATTATCCACTCTGCCTTGGTAGGAGACAGCCAGCATATTCAAAAATAACTATAATTATGTAAGGTTACCCCTGGTTTTTTTTTTATGAAAGTACTTAGAATCATTTTTAATATATATTCAAGACATTTTATATCGAGTACAAAATTGTTTAATCAGTTACTAAAAAAAAAAAAGTTACAATACTAGCATTTTATACAATTCTAGGGCCTAAAAACTGAAGAAAGCAATATTATAGTTTAGTGTATTAATGTGCAAGACTGATTTATAGCATTCACACATTCCAGTATTTAATTTGAATGTTGCCTAATTTAATGGGAGTTATCATACAGTAACAGTAAGGCAAATTGAAATTACCCATTAATGACACGAAATATTTACAGTGATATAGACACAGTTTTACATTATATATATAATATTACTGTGAGATAAACTGGTAAGACCACTGGCTGGTGTTAAGTGAGGAAGAGGGCAGTAGTAGTCAGCATAAGTCCCAAGATATAAAATTCAAAGGCAATAAATGCAAAAGAAAGAAAGAAAAAGAGAAAGAAAGAGAAAAAGAGAAAAGATATATACCCAGGATGACTAGTATGGAACACATTCGTGCAGCATAATAATGTCAACGAGATAAAGTCAGTTGATCAAATGAAAATGCTGGCCCACAGATGGCTCCAACTTCATCCTGTTCCCTACTTGTATGTCTCGTAATAAAAATGCTTTCAAATGAGCTGATGTAGGTAACAGCTCTTAGCTTGCCAATAAAGTTAGGAATCCTTAACATGTAAAGTAAAAGTAAGATTTAATGACAAACAGAGAGGAGAGACAGAAGACAGAGAGAGAGAAGAAAGAGAGGAGAGAGAGAGACGAGAGAGAGAGAGAAGAGGACAGAGAGAGAGAGAGACGAGAGAAGAGAAGGAGAAGGAGAGAGAAGAGAGGAGAGAGAGAGAGAGAGACGAAGAGAGAAGAGAGACGAGAAGGAGAGAGAGAAGAGAGAGAGAGAGACAGAGAGAAGAGAGAGAGAGAGAGACAGAGAGAGAGGAGAGAGAGAGAGAGAAGAGACAGAGAGAGAGACAGAGAGAGAGAGAGAGAGAGAGAGAGAGAGAGAAGAGAGAGAGAGAGAGAGAGAGACGAGAGAGACAGAGAGAACAGAAGAGACAGAGACAGAGAAAGAGAGAGAGAGAGAGAGAGAGAGAGAGAGAGACAGAAGAGAGACAGAGAGACAGAGACAGACAGAGAGACAGAGAGAGAGAGAGGAGAGAGAGGAGAGAGAGAGAGAGAGAGGAAGAGAGAGAGAGAGAGAAGAGAGAGAGAGAGAGAGAGAGAGAGAGAGAGAGAGAGAGAGACAGAGAGAGAGAGGAGAGAGAGAGACAGAGAGAGAGAGAGACAGAGACAGAGAGAGAGAGAGACAGAGAGAGAGAGAGAGACAGAGAGAGAGAGAGAAGCAGAGAGAGAGAGACAGAGAGAGGACAGAGAGAGAGACGAGAGAGAGAGAGAGACAGAGAGACAGAGAGAGAGAGACAGAGAGAGAGAGACAGAGAGAGAGAGAGAGACAGAGAGAGAGAGAGATTTATTCCTGCAATATTAACAGCAGGCATGGAAGGATTAGCTTGGACAAACACTACAGATACATTATTGTATAATTGGGACCTAGACTACAGCAGGTATGCATTTATTTACAAGTTCACTTGGCAGCAGGAGGAAAACCTTCCTCTCTTGAAGGGTCAGCTGATTCAGCTGTCGTTTCCACAGGTGGAACTATTGCTGCTTCTTCACCTACGGCTGCTTCAAGAGCTTGACGGGCTAGCTGCTCCACAGCTTTGAAGGGAGACTCACTGGTGTCATTCTGGAGCCATAAATTGTCTGGGTAAGTAGATTATTAGTGACTAGGGTCTTCAAAATATTGTTAAGACCAGCTTATTGAAAACTCAAAACTGATGACGTATGGCACTGTTCCCAAGTTGGGAAGGCCTGCAAGTTTAGATAAAGAAAGGCAGGCACAGATGGCACCTTTTTAACATTTAACAATCAGCTTATCAACTGCAGAAAAATTACTTTAAACAATAAAGGCAAAGGCAATATAATATGAACCAAGAAAAAAGATCTTTAAAATCCAGATTATTATATTTTGAGAAAAGTGCTTAACCCATAGGGGGTTACATAGTGCCTGGGGAATGCAGTATAAAAGTATAATTTTAAAACTAATTCTGATTTAAAAAACTAGAAGTTAACATACACGACTGATAAAATAAACTGCTTCTTCCAATCACCATGTTCTGGATTATCATGGCGACTGTCTTATTTAGCAAAACATACCATATTAATCCAAGAGACACAATGGTTATATTCCTGAAAATTGACATAGTCCAAATTAGAACTAGCTGGAGTGAAAACCATATGGAAAAAATACTTATGTTCCTTAGACCAAAAACTAAATTTTTCTGAAAACAGAACAAGTTAAAAGAATTGCCTATCTTTTTTTTTTAACCCTTTCAGGGTTGTGACCCCTGCTCTCAAACTTGGTCTCATGGTTCAGAAAAAAAAAAAAAAATTATGAAATAGCAGAGAATCTTTTTCTCATAGTCGGACTTGAGTCCTGGAAATGGGAAGTACAATGCCTGCACTTTAAAGGAGGGGTTTGGGATATTGGCAGTTTGGAGGGATATGTTGTGTATCTTTATGTGTGTATGCTTCTAAACTGTTGTATTCTGAGCACCTCTGCAAAAACAGTGATAATGTGTGAGTGAGGTGAAAGTGTTGAATGACGATGAAAGTATTTTCTTTTTGGGGATTTTCTTTCTTTTTTGGGTCACCCTGCCTCGGTGGGAGACGGCCGACTTGTTGAAGGAAAAAAAAAAAAAAAAATATACAAAATCTGATGGAAAACTGACAAAATTACACTTTCGCGAATTTTGCAGTGTCAATGATATTAACACATCGGTGACTTTGTCCACTTTGAGTGATTTTAGGCCAATTACATTGCTTCGCTTGACCAAATACTTAGCTATTTCGCTAGTATGTCTTCCATTCTATCGAATGAGTACAAGAAACTGCCCATTTACCGATTTCAACTACTCAATAACGTGGTCAGATATTTGCAATTTGGCCAATTTCATGCAAATTAAAAATTATGCCAATTTCAAAATAGGGTCCAGAATGAACAATGCAGACATTCCTGGATCTAAAATAATATTTTCTTTGTTCATCAGTCATGTCTCCAGGCCCCTCTGATATTACTCTTGCTTTCTATTTTGAATTTTTATTCAAACAAAAAATAGAAGATTTACTGTTAGGCAGACTACTGCCATATTAGAATGGCTAGTTGGACATTTACTGGACAATGACATCATTTGTTTACTTTTGAACATCGGCAAAAATCAAACATTTCCCCTACTTTGATCTCCATTTCAAGGTTCTTTTCATAGTAAAACCAATAAAAAATCACCTCTATTTCTATAATATGTTTTCCATTCTATCAAATGAGACCAAGAAAACTAGAATACAACCATTAATACTATACGAAAATACACCACAAAGTTGGCAGCACTGCAGGATTTTTTTTTATATGGTGCACACTGACCACACAGACCCATTCTCTCACATGTGGGCCTACCAGCTTTTCCTGCTTGATTTGAAGCCGTTAGAATTTTTAAGTATATACATGTATACGTCAAGCACAGTGGCTCGTAAGATGTATATATACGACCAAAACAGTCAAAGGGTTAATAGCAGCAATGAACAAATATTATAGATGTCAAATAATCAAAAGAACAGTTGTTGGTAAACCAAAATCAATAGTTGAGAGTATCAGCAATGTACATATGAAATTACCTGATAAATGTAGAGACCAATTGCGATGATGAGTGCAAGGAAGAGCAATTTAACAAGTATGCGCACCAATGCTGATGTTTTACACAGGGGGCTGCTACTTGTTTTATCTCCTGCAGATTTTGTTGCAGTTCCTTCACTAGCATAACCACTGTAAAACAGACTACTCTGATTATATACACCTACCATCCGACTTACGACCGAGTTGGTTCGAGAAACTGGTTGTAAGTCGAAATGGACGCAAGTCAAACTTTACTACTGAATATCAACGTAACATTTTTGTAATGACTATTTTATTGTTTTATTTTGGTAATTCATGTTTTACTTTACTTTTTATACTGTTGGTACTGTAATTTATACTGTAAGGTTCAAGATAAACACTGTGTACAACACAAACACACTTTTATTTCCCAGAAATTTGGCATAAAAAACACAGTCGTAAGTCGAGTCGTCCTATGTCGAGCAGGTTGTAAGTCGGATGGTAGGTGTATAATAAAAAAAAACCTTATGCATCCGAATGTCATTTTCATTACCACAGGAAAGAGACTGCATGATTAACTACTGTAAATAAATATAAAACACAGAAAAAAATTATTACTTTGATATATTCTAAGGCTGTAAACAAGTTAAAACCAACCTTCTGCCATTATTGACAAATTTTCTGACAGTGTAAGTCTCTGAAGAAGTAGAAGTAACAGTGCGGAGAGATGGACGCGGAGATGGGGTGTGTCGTTCAGGGTCATATACATCACTGCTCTTGGTTTCACTTGCTAAAGAGAAAAAAAAAAAAAAAAAAAAAAAAAAAAATCAATGTAAATATTTAAGCTAAATTAATACTGGCAGGCAATGCATATACAGCAGGTTAAGTTCTGGGCTACTGATGTAAAGGCCATTTTTCACTGTAAAGTGAAAATGGGCTTTTTTTTCCACTTTAAAATGCAAATAAGAACCTTACATTTTTATACTATCATATATTAATTGAGCAATAGAGTAAGTCCTAAAAAAATGCACATAAAACCCTCACATTACTTACCTTAAAATATTTTCGTCCTTAGCTATTTGCGAGTAGTGAATATATTTATTGCAGGAAGTCTGAATAAATGAAGAATGAGTATAACTTAAAACCACAGCATTAGAAAAATCGCTGTAAAGCAAAGCCATGTAAAGCAAGACCCGCCTGTGTATATAGAGGAGGGCCCTGCTTATACAGGTCAGGTCAGGTTCCGAGCTACCACTGTAAAGCAAAACATGGCCTTTTTATTTCCACCTTAAAATGCAAATAAGAGCCTGATAACATGTTTATGCTAACTTATATAAAGTGAGCAATAAAGCTAGGCCTAAAAAATGCATATACAGTACACATTACTTACCTTAAAATATTTTTGTACTTAGCTTATAGTTAGCGGTGAACACACTTATCGTCGATAGCCTGAATAAAAGAATGGGTATAATTCAAGACCACTGTATTAGAGGAGTGCTGTAAAGTGGGTGACTCCTGTATATGTATATACATATATGTGTGTATATGATCCAGGTAGTGTGTAATGCCACCAAGGTTAACATTTATAGATGGAGTTGTAAAAGAAATAAATGCTAGGGGGAGGGTGTGTAAATTATTATTATTATAATCAAAAAGCGCTAAACCACAAGGGCTATACAGCGCTGCAGGGCAGGAAGGAAGCGAGGGTATCAGGTGGCAAAAGGGAGATGGACGAGTAATACGTTATGGAGAACAGTGGGGCAGTGGATGGTGAAAGGGCAAAGGGCAGCAAGAGATTGAATAGAAAGGGCTGAGGGGAGTGCGAAAGGTATCATCAGAGTTTGTGGAGTAAATCAGTCGTTGTCAAGAAGTCAATGAGAGAGTCAGGATTAAGGGAGGGTCCATCAGCAAGAAGGGAAGGTAAAGAGAGAGTAGTAGAGTGGAGACGACGTTGGAGGTAAATTCTGCATGCTATTTGATAGAGAGGGCAGTCTAACAGAATGTGGCTAATCGATACTGGAACTTGACACTGCTCACAGAGAGGAACAGGGTACCTCTCCAAGAGATATGTGCATAGATTTAGTGCATATAAGAAAAAGATGAGGATGTCCAGACCCTAAGTGAAACGAAGTTGAAGGGGGTAGGAGAGTTTCAGTGGGGAGAAATAAATGGGATTTGGTCAAGGGGTTTCTAATAAAGCTAAGGAAGGAGCAGCAAAATTGAAGGATAAGTTATGGCAGGAATAGAGGGAATATAAATGTATAAATTCAAGGATTATGTGGAGTAAAATAAGGGTTGGATGTGAAAAGTGGATAATAGATTTTAGGAAATGTTGAGTGTGGTGAGTTTTGAACCAAGTGAGAGAGTACTTGTGGTTGGGGATCTAAATGCTAAAGTTGATAAAAATATTGTGGAGGGATTAGTAGGTAAATCAGGGGTGCCAGGGGTAAATGAAAATGGGGAGCCTTTGATTGAACTATGCATAGAAAGAGGTTTGGAAATTAAGTAGTACAGCCTCTCCTCACTTAGCGACGTACTCGTTTACCGACAACTCGGACTTATGATGGGCTCTCTGACCAGTATGCATACCTAAATGTATATTAGAGCCGATTCCCTCTATTCCGTTTATTACAATATACAGTACACTACTGTATATTATTTATTATAATAAAAAAAGATGCGCTAAGCCACAAGGGCTATACAGCGCTGCAGGGTAGGGAAGGAAGTGAGGGTATTGGATGGCAGAAGGGAGGAGGGATGATCAGTAGGTTACAGAAAACAGCGGGGCAGGGGATAGTACGGGGTAAGGGGTAGCAAGAGATTAAAGTAGAAAGGGCTGAAGATATCAGAATTTGTGAAGTCAGTCAGTTGTTGTCAAAAAGTCAATGAGAGAGTCTGGATGAAAGGTGGGTCCATCATCGAGAAGGGAAGGTAAAGAGAGCAGCAGAGCGAAGACGACGACGGAGGTAAATTCTGCGAGCTCGTTGATAAAGTGGGCAGTCCAACAGAATGTGGCTGACTGATAATGGAACTTGGCAATTCTCACAGAGAGGAGCAGGGCGCCTCTCCATGAGATATCCATGAGTAAGACGAGTATGGCCAATGCGAAGACTGGAGAGAGTAGTCTCCCAACCTCGACACTGGTGATAAGAAGACGGCCAGTAACCTATACTCGGTTTAATAGATTGAAGTTTGTTGCCGAGCATAGTAGACCAATGTTTGTTGCCAACGGGTGTGAAGTTGGGAAGATATTGCAGCAAAATAGTCCGTAAATGGAATACCTCTACATGAAACTGGTAAGTAATGTACTGCTGACCGCGCAGCAGTGTCTGCCTGTTCATTGCCCTGTACGTCAACATGACCAGGGACCCAACAAAAAACAATATCTTCATGCTTGGTAAAGATGCGGCGTAGCCAAAGTTGGATACGGAGGACTAAGGGGTGAGGTGTATCAAATTTCTGTATAGCCTGTAAAGCACTAAGGGAGTCTGAGACAACCACAAATGATGACACAGGCATAGATGCAATACGGATAAGTGCTGTAAGGATGGCATACAATTCAGCAGTAAAAAATACTAGCCGAAGATAGTAAATGCCCTTGTACGACGCTGTCCGGAAACACTGCTGCGAATCCTACGCCGTCAGAAGACTTAGAGCCATCTGTGTACACAGCAATGGCATGAGAATGAGAGTGAAAGTGGTCAAGAAAATGAGAGCGGGAAGCGACCGTAGACAGTTGGGCTTTCGAGCAAGGGAGAGAGAAAGAACAGACTCGAACAGCTGGAACTTCCCAGGGGGGTACGGAAAAGTGAGATGCTACATGTACATAGAAAGGTGGTAATTGAAGAGAAGACAAGAGCGAATGAAGGCGAAGAGAGAAGGGACGGAGTAAACAGGGGCGGCGAACAAATAAAGAATGTCTACTAATATCAGTGACCATTCTATAAATGGAAGGATTGCGGAGATCATGAGAGCGTACATAGTAGCGAAGGCAATGGCATCACGGCGATCGGATAAGGATGGAACGTTCGCTTCTGCATAGAGGCTCTCGACAGGGAAGAGCGAAAAGCACCAAGGCATAAACGTAATCCTTGGTGATGAATGGGGTTAAGGCTAGAGAGAGTAGCAGGAGATGCCGCTGAATAGATCTGGTCACCATAATCAAGTTTCGATAAGATAAGGGTGGAATGTAGGCGAAGGAGGGTTCGACGATCAGCTCCCCATGAAAGATGAGCAAGGGTTTTAAGGAGGTTCAGCCGGCTGTGACAAGTTGCCTTCAGAGAGGTAATGTGAGGTTTCCAGGATAACCTACGATCAAAGAGGAGGCCCAGAAACTTGACTATCACGTTCAGGGATAAGGGAGCCATAGAGGTAAAAAGGATGATCGGAGATGACAGAGCGTCTAGTGAAAGTAATTTGGTGGGTTTTAGTGCTGGAAAATTTAAACCCATGTGTGGTGGCCCAATTGGAAACACTGTCGACTGCATGCTGGAGAGAAACTGTAATAAGGTGACAGTCAGCGCCTGCACAGGCAATAGCGAAGTCATCAACATAGAGTGATGACCAAATATTTGATGGAAGACTAGAGGCCAAATCATTAATAGCAAGGAGAAAAAGTGTTGTGCTCAGAACACATCCCTGGGGGACACCTTCAGCTTGGATAAAGTCCAGGGAGAGCACATTATTAACCCGAACACGGAAATGCCTGTCAGTTAAAAAATTCTTAAGGAAGGATGTAGATTGACTCGAAGGCCTAAGGAGTGGCTTGGGCTAAAATATTATACCTCCAAGTTGTGTCATATGCCTTCTCAAGGTCAAAAAATATGGCAATAACTGAGTGGTTATTCGCAAAGGCATTTACGAACATACGTATCCAAGCGTAGTAAGGGTCTATGGTAGAACGTCCCTTACGAAAGCCATATTGACGAGTGGAGAGACTGTTGTCTCTCTCTAAATACCACACTAAACGTCTATTTACTAGGCGTTCCATCACTTTGGAAACTGCACTGTTAAGAGCAATGGGACGATAGTGGGAGGTTTCATGTCCCGTAGTGCCTGGTTTGAGGAAAGGGAGAACAATGACGGATTTCCACAGCTGTGGAAGAACTCCTTGTGACCAAATAAGATTGTAAAGGCATAATAGGACTGCAAGGGCTGACTGATGTAAATGTTGTAGCATACAAATATGAATGTCGTCGGGCCCAGCTGCCGATGATCGGCAAGCTGTGTGTGTTGCCTCCAGTTCTTGAAGTGTAAAAGGCACATTATACTGTTCTTCTCTGAGAGAAGAAAAGTCCAAGGGTGCTAACTCTCTGCCAGACTTTGAGGAAAGAAATGAGGGGCATAGATGGAGTCCCTGAGAAATACGGACCAGATGATTGCCATTTTCATTGGCAACATCTAGTGGGTTTGCTATATCAACACCGGCAACCCGCAGAACAGGAGCCTGGTCAGGAGAATATTTACCACTCAGTTTTCGTACTTTTTTCCAGACTGCACTCAGAGGAAGCAGAGGTGATGGTGGAGACAATCTCGCCAGCAAGTGCGTTTAGCGTCACGGATGACATGGCGAGCGATCGCACGCTTCTGCTTAAATTCAAGAAGTCTCTCTGTGGTTCTATTGTACCGGTACCTGCCCCATGCAGTGCGTTTCAAACGTACTGCATGAGCACAAGCAGGAGACCACCAAGGCACGCATTTCTGAGAATGCCTGCCCGAAGTTTGGGGTATAACGGAGGTTAAAACGGAGGACGAGAAGAGGTGTGAAAGCTCATCGATGGAGGACGAAGAAGGAACCTCTCTAAAAACAGTTAGGTGTGAGTAAAGGTTCCAATTTGCCTGATCAAACTGCCAGCGTGGGATGCGAAGAGGTGGTGAATATGAAGGGGAAGTAAGAATGATTGGGAAATGATCGCTGTCATGTAAGTCCGGAAGAACAGACCAAGTGAAGTCTAATGCGGCGGAGGAAGAGCAGACTGAGAGATCGATGCAAGAGAGAGTGTGAGTCCGAGGATCAAAATGGGTGCGAGTACCTGTATTTAAAACATGGAGGGGTGGGTGGCAAGAAAAGCCTCTAACTGAATGCCACAGGAATCACAGTGAGACCCCCCCAGAGGAAATGGTGGGCATTTAAAATCACCAAATAACAGAATCGGTGGTGGTAATGACGAAACAAGAAAGGCAATATCCGGAATAGATAATGCCCGAGAAGGAGAGAGATGTAAAGAACAGAGCGTATACCACCTATGCAAGTGGATACGGGCTGCGTGTAATGCAGCGAAGTACGAACAAATAGCTGATGGTACGAATATCAGTGCGTAGAAGAAGGGCACTTTCATTAAAGGTCCCATCAGGAAAGGATCTGAAGAATACAATAAATTATAGCCTGAGATGGGAGAGATAACAGCAGAGTGTAATTTTGGTTCCTGTAAGCAAACACCAACAGGGGAAAACTGGGAGAGTAACATCTGAAGCTCACCCCGATTACCCGAGGCCGCGTATATTCCACTGTAAATAGGCTATGATTGGCAATGATAAAGATACCTGAAATCCGCAGGTAAGGGTTCCTACGGACTAGAGGGGTTAGAAAAGTCCACATGCGGAGGCAGTGGAAAATGTTCAAGCAACGAAGGAACGGTACGCTGTGAAGAAAGGAGTTCGCAGATGGAGTAGAGGAGAGAGAAGGAGTGGAGGGTGGATCAGTGTCCATTGATGGTTTGTCTCTGCAATATATTCAGAGATTGCTTCAAGGTTTTCAGAATTCAGAGACGTCGTATGGGAGACAATATTGGAAATGGTAGGGGGAGGATGAGTAAAGATTGGAACTATAAATGGACTGTACCAAGGTAGGGGGGGACGGAAGGGTGGAGGGAACTGGAGAAGCGTGGAAGGGGACAGAAGAGGCAGAAACCTGGGAGGTGGCCGAAGAGGAAGAAATTTGGGAGGGAACAGGGGAGGAAGGTACAGTACGAGGAGGGTGAACCTCTACACTGTAGTCAGAGGAGAGCGAAGGTCAGATAAATCGAAGGAGTCAGTCGAGGCCTCAGTACCTGAAGCGGGTGAGGAAACAGCACCGGCAAGAGGTACAGAGGCATGAGGAGTGTCCGAAGAGTGGTCCAAAGATGAGGCGGGGTCAGAACGGGGTGCGGTATCAAGAAGGGGCCCGGGGGTAGCAGGTTCATGGACTAGGGCTGCCATGATTAGGTTACTTCTTTCTTTTTGTTTTTAAGAAAAAAAAAAGAAACAAAAGAAAAATAAAAAAAAAAAGAATAAAAAAAGGGGGGACCGGGGAGGGATAGTTCCTAGGAGGAATGAAAGGGCCAGAAATCTCCCTCCACGCCCAAGAGGACCTCAGTACCGCAGATGCAGCATGGAACCCGTGCCATACCCTACCCATCATGCCAGTAAACCGGCAATCCGGGATAGCAACCTCACATCTGCCGAGCTACCTCGGTGGACAAAAGAGAGGGCGGCCGGAAATCCGCCACAAAGCATACCTCCTTCGGCCACCACCCCCAGAATCCGAAAGGTGGCTTCCAGAGATACACCAGTCACCCGAGAGACACCCAAAGCCACCCTCCGGGATACCGGAGAGGGATCAGGACATCCCCAGGCAATCCAGATTCCACGGCAAACTACGCCACCGCCAAGAACCTCAACGGAATGGGATGGACCCCGGTACCCTTTCCCCTACCTAGGAACTAGCGTGCCTGTGGGAAAAAAAAAAAAAAAAAAAAGGCCAAAAAGGAAGGGCAAAAGGGAGGGGTGGGGAGGAGGAGGAGGAGGAAAGGTAAAAAGGGGAGGATGGGATAGGGAACGGGGGATTGGGGGGTAATTAGGTTCGGTCTGAGGAAGTAGACCGACAGGTCTAATTCCTCAGACCAAGAGCCTCTTCACCACGCCAAGGAGCCCCCCTTGAAGAGGCACTACTGTATAAACATTTAAAAATATACCAGAAATGTTACAAATGGTGCAAAGGTGACATTAAAACAAAGATGGTTGACACAAACCCACTACTATTATAATATGCTCCTCACTTAGCGATGAATTTGTTTACTGACTAGGCCTTAAGAATGGAACTCCATCCGTAAGCGAGGAGAGGTTGTAATGGCTAAACAAAGATACTAATTTAACAGGGATAGGATGATGCCATTATCAACTCTTCCTACTAATTACTGGCCATCTTTCACTTTCAATTTCTCAACAATTACACTTATACCCTCGTGTTTATGTAAAGTGCCAATTATCGTGAAATTTCATAATAAAACATACTGTACCTGTAAGTATTCCTCTTACTGCTTTTTTCCACTAGCATATTATCCATTACTCACCAACCTCTTTACCATTTACAAAGCTCATTGTATGCCAGAGTACAAATTTGAAACTAAATTTGTAATACTTACAGATTCCTTTAATTACGCACATCCTTCAAGACCATACATACCCACAGTATCTGTCTTACAGTAAACATTCTTCACTTTCTCTTATTTCACAAAATGCTTAATGGAAGCTTATCTTCGAAGGAGTACAGTTAAATAGCATGGTCAGTCTCGAGATTTTGGACAGGAGACAATTCAATCCTCCTTGTAATGAAAAATGCACACAGGCTTACCACTGCACATTTGTATTATTACAATGAAGGAAAGCTAAACCGATAAGGGTCAGTGCAAAGGCAATGAGAGGCAATTGCTTTGATCCAAGATGGCAGAATCCAATTCCTTGAATTGACAGCCTTTCACCAGCACCAAAACACCTAAAATGATGGGTACACATTTGTAACCCATTTTCTTTTCCTTTATAAAAAAGAAATATTCAATAATTTACATAAGTAGTTTTTAAACTATCTTCCCCATCCCCCCCAAAATAATAATAATAAAAGTCTTTTTACCTATATTGCGGTAGCTCATAACACACAATAATCTTACCTGGTGACATAATACGTTTACGTAAGTCTGTGTGTTTTGAAGGGGAGGAGGAAGTTGTAGTAAATCTTGTTGATTCACTCATGAAAGAAGAGCGTGATATTGTTGGCTTTTCTACCACCACCTCTGAAACATGAATATTTCATGACTGTGCTTGGCCTAGCTATTAACATTTTTTGCACTGTAAAGCAATGCAAAAATGAAAAAACTAACATGTACCATGGCAATGCAAGTGTAGCTAAAGAAAACAGAAAAGATTTTTACCCATTTATCATGCACAAATGAAAATATATCAGATGGGCAGATGCTGCTCCAGCAGCAGCAACTGCTCATCTGGCAAATCTAATATTAGCACTCAGAAATCTAACTAAGAAATCATTCACAACACTGTATACCATGTAAGTCATGACCAATTTCGGAATATGCAGCACCAGTATGGAACTCGCACCTGGTCAAGCATGTCAAGAAATTGGAGAAAATGAATGAGGTTTGCTAGGGGAGTATATCCTACAAGAGGTTAAGGGAAGTAAGTTGATGACACTAGAGGAAAGAAAGACTTAGGGCAATATGTTAACAATGTACAAAAGTACAAAATACTGAGAGGAGTTGACAGAATGGACAGGGGCACATTGTTTCAGAGACAGGAAATAGGAGCACAAGGTCGTAGCTGGAAGATGAAAACACAGACAAGTCACTGGGATGTCAGGAAGTATTTCTTCAGCCTAATAGTCAGGAAGTGGAAAGACCTGGAGAATGAAGTGGTAGATGTAGCATCCATGCATACCTAAGAAGTATGAGGAGGCTCTCAAAGCCAGTGAAGAGTGAGCCTACTATCAACCAGCAAAGAGAAAGGCCCAGGAGCTGAAATTCTACCCCTGCAACCACATTAGATTAAAAAAAAATGCATATACTTTCCCATAAGAAATGAGGTGAATCAAATTCAGTACCCTCTTGTTCTATCAAATGAAATGCAGTGAATGAATAGCAAAGAGCTAGCACAATGTTCAAATTTATTAAAAGGTACTAATCATGATTATGTATTGGTAAACTAAACACTGACATTTACTCTCCCATAAAACTTTGACATTAACCTTCCTAATGTTTCAAATTTTTTTAAATATTTAACTAATGTTTGCCTATCATGCCTATCTCGTACAGTTTAAAACTTCTTCACTCTTTAGCTTATAGCTATATTAATCACAATGCTTGGTGACATTCCCCAGTTTATGCCCTCTGATAAACTGTGGTATTTGCACAATACATAACTTAGAGTCTAATCTTAATGAAGCAACATGTAAGTGTTCCATTTAAAACTTTTTTTTTAAATTTGACTTGCCACATATACAATGTATCAGTTGTCATAAATCTGTCATAAGAAAGTAAATACAAAAATTGTCTTAACATCTTTACTGTACCTTCTTCACTGCCAGAGTATTCATCATCAACATCCCCATTATATGTGAAAGATTCTACCATATCACCCCCCATCATGACGAACAACTTCTTTTCGTAAACTTTCCGTGTAGAATCTGAAACATAAGTTCAATATAGCTAAATCATTCTCATGTACAGTATGCAATTCATAAAGTAGACCATCTATCGCACCTCCACCTACTGTGTTTCCGCCTTTTCGCAATTCATTTTTTGTATAATTTACTTTTCACTCGTTTCCTACCTATCCTGGTAGCTCTGACTTTTTTTTTTTCTCAGTCCAGTTTCTATCTTTAATTATAAAAAAATGGCTAGTTTTTTATCAAATGCATTCATATTGGGTGTAAGCTCATTTTAGGCATGTAAAGGTTAGAGTTCACATTTGCTTGGTAGAGATTGGTCAAGAAACAAGTTTTAGATTTGTGTTTTAGGCAAGGCTGAATTATAATTTTCCTCAGTTTTTAACCAAATGCATGCAAATGTTATGACCATTCTATGTATGTGTGTTATAAATGGAGCAAAGGTGATGTTAAAAATATGAAAGATGGTTATGCATACCCACTACCATTACAGTATGCTCCTCACTAGCGACAAATTCACTTACCGACATGGTCTTAGGAACAGAACTCCGTCGTTAAGTAAGGAGAGGCTGTGTGTGTGTATTCTCTCACTCATGCTCACACACGCACTCACTCGCACTCTCTCTCTCTCTCGCACTCGCACTCTCTCTCGCACTCTCTCGCTCTCTCTCTCTCTCTCTCTCTCTCTCGCTCTCTCTCTCTCGCTCTCTCTCTCTCGCTCTCTCTCTCTCGCTCTCTCTCGCTCTCTCTCTCGCTCTCTCTCTCTCGCTCTTCTCTCTCTCTCTCTCTCTCTCTCGCTCTCTCTCGCTCTCTCTCTCTCTCTCGCTCTCTCTCGCTCCTCTCTCTCTCGCTCCCCTCTCTCTTCCTCTCTCTCGCTCTCTCTCTCTCGCTCCTCCTCGTCTCCTCTCTCGCTCTCTCCTCTCTCTCCTCTTCGCTCTCCCCTTTCTCTCTTCTCGCTCTCTCTCTCTCGCTCCCCTCTCTCTCGCTCTCTCTCTCTCGCTCTCTCTCTTCTCGCTCTCTCTCTCTCGCTCTCTCTCTCTCGCCCTTCTTCCCCCTCTCGCTCTCCCCTCTCTCCTCTCTCTCTCTCGCTCTCTCTCTCTCGCTCTCTCCCCTCTCGCTTTTTCTCTCTCGCTCTCTCTCGCTCTCTCTCTCTCCCCTCTCTCTCTCTCGCTCTCTCCTCTCTCCTCCCCTCTCTCCCCTCTCTCGCTCTCGCTCTCTCCTCTCTCTCGCTCTCTCGCTCTCTCGCTCTCTCTCTCGCCCCTCTCTCTCGCTCTCTCTCTCGCCTCTCTTCTTCTCGCTCTCGCTCTCTCGCTCTCTCTCTGCTCCCCCTCTCTCGCTCTCTCGCTCTCTCTCTCTCGCTTCTTCCTCGCTCTCTCTCTGCTCTCTCTCTCTCGCTCTTTTCTCTCTCGCTCTCTCTCTCTCGCTCTCTCCTCTCTCTCTTTCTCTCTCGCTCTCTCCTCTCGCTCTCTCTCTCTTCTCGCTCTCTCGCCTCTCTCTTTTCTCTCCCCCTCTCTCGCTTCTCTCTCCTCTCGCTCTCTCTCTCCTCTTCTCTCTCCTCTCTCTCTCGCTCTCTCTCCTCTCTCTCTCGCTCATCTCTCTCTCTCTCGCTCTCCCCTCTCCGCTCTCTCCCCTCCTCCTCTCCCTTTTCTCTCTCGCTCTCCTCTCTCTCTCTCTCTCTCCTCTCTCTCTCTCTCGCTCTCTCTCTTTTCTCGCTCTTCCCCTCTTCTCGCTCTCTCTCTCGCTCTCTCTCTCGCTCTCTCTCTCCCCTCGCTCTCTCTCTCCTTCTCGCTCCCCTCTCTCTCTCGCTCTCTCTCTCTCGCTCTCTCTCTCCTCTTCTCTCTCTCTCTCTCTCTCGCTTCTTTGCTCCTCTCTCTCGCTCGCTCTCTCTCCTCTCTCGCTCTCCCCTCGCTCTCCCTCCTTCTCTTTCGCTCTCCTCTCCTCTCTCTCTCGCTCTCTCTCTCGCTCTCTCTCTCGCTCTCGCTCTCTCCCCTCGCTCCTCTCTCTCGCTCTCTCTCTCGCTCTCACTCTCTCCTCTCTCTCCTCTCTTTTCCCCTCTCTCTCTCGCTCTCTCTCGTCCTCTCTCGCTCGCTCTCTCGCTCTCTCTCTCGCTCTCTCTCTTTTCCTCTCCTCGCTCTCTTCGCTCGTCTCCTCTTCGCTCGCTCTCTCTCGCCTCCGCTCCTCTCCCTCTCATCCTCGCTCTCTCCTCGCTCTCGTCTCACTCATCTCACTCAACTCCCTCACTCACTCCATCACTCACTCACTCACCCACTCCTCTCACACTTTACTACACTCACTCACACTCACTCACACTCACTCACACTCACTCACACTCACTCACTCACTCACACTCACTCACTCACACTCACAAAATTGAAAAAATTGCAGCACAATTTTATACAACACTTCATAAAATTAACTTAACATGGTTTGGTTTGCAGGAGCGGAAAATAATTTGGAGCGTTGCCTGCGGGATACTTGCGATAAGGAAGGAAGGCCTGAAAAAGTGTTTGTTTAGCACAGGCTGGTTCCATAACCAAGTTGTGTAATAAGTTACATAATAGTCCTCCCTCACAAATCCGGCATCATTGGGACCTGTAGTGTGCCGGATTACTGAGTTTGCGGGATTACAGAGTGGTTAGGCTAGAATACACTTAATAAAATTAGCCAACTTGACTTGCACAAAGTTCAATGAACATCGGCAAAAATCAAACTTTCCTCTACTTTGAGCTCAATTTCAAGGTACTTTTCGTCATGAAAGCAATCAAAATCATGTCTATTTCTGTGATATATCTTCCATTCTATCAAACGAGTCCAAAAAAACGAGAATACAACCATACGAAAACATACTGCAAAGAGGCGGCTAATGGCTGAGAAGTGAACTCCCTTATTTATCGTAGGTCTTTTTTATTTTTGTTGTACATTAAGAAGCATCTTTCCATCATACATTGCCCAAGTTTCAATGAGATAGCCCAACAAACAACTGAGAAAAAAAAATATTTACCAAAAATCATATATGGCAAGCTCAAGCCAGGTACTGGAAATAAGTCACTTTGACTTTTCTGGGTTATCCTAGGTTCTCTTACATACATACCCTATGTATGATAATCTATGTAACTATACATACACTGCTATGTATGATAATCTATGTATCTGTATATACCTGAATAAACTTATTTACTTCTAGTCTGTCAATCGAGTACAAGAAACCGCCCATTCACTTATTTCAACTACCCAATAGTGGTCAGAAATTGGCAATTTGGCCGATTTCACACAAATTTCAACAGATGCCAATTTCAAAATAGTGTCCAGAATAAATAATGCAGACATTCCTGGCACTAAAATAACATTTTCTCTGTTCATTAGTCACGGCTACAAGCCCCTCTTATATTACTCTTGCTTACCATTTGGAATTTTTATTCACAAAAAAATAGAAGATTTACTGTTATGCAGACATTATTGTAATTGTATAAATAATGTCAATCCATTCTTGACTCCGTACTGGAATTTAGACTGGCAGGCGGACAGGTATTGGACGGTGACGTCATTTGTTTACTCTTGAGCTTCGCTAAAGAATAGAACATTTTCGCTACTGTGAGCGCAATTTCAAGGTACTTTTCTTCATGAAAGCAATCAAAATCATATCTATTTCTGTAATATGTCTTTCATTCTATCAAATGAGAGCGAAAAAATGAGAATATAACCACAACAACCATACAAAAATATACCGCTAATGGCTGATTTCTTTAATTTTTGGTGTACGTGAAGAAGTATCTTTCCATCATACACTGTCCAAGTTTGAATAAGATAACCCAACAAACAACAGAGAAAATAATAATAATAATATAATAATAATAATAATAATAATAATATATTTACTACACATACAAGGTATACAGGTCTAGCTGACATCAGTGACATACTACTGTATAGAAAGCCGCTTGTTATGCAGAGTATTTCAAGAAAATTACATTAGTGTCCCAGGATAACACCCACACTAGTTGACTAACACCCAGATACCCATTTACTGATGGGTAAACATAGACAACAGGTGTAAGAAACACACCTAATGTTTCTACCCTGGCTGGGAATCGAATATTTACCAAAAATCATATATGGCTAACCCAAGCCAGGTACTAGAAATAAGCCACATTGACTTTTTATGGGTTAACCTAGGTTCTCTACACACATGCTGCTGTGTGTGATAATCTATAGAGAGAAAATAACTTTTTTGTTTCATGTTTATGGTGGAGTACGAGTGTATATCATAGTTAGCCCTGTGCTATACTCCGTTTTCTCTAATATAAGCCCCCAAGACAAGGATAGGAGAATGGTATTTGTTTACCATATCCTCTTCATAACTCTGTCAAACTGCTCGGTATTATGCCAATTATTATTTATTCTGGAGTATTTAATATGTTTTATGTTATTTATATTGTTTATTATGTCATATTAGATCAATTGTGATAAGCAAATAAGCTGTAGTGTTGATATTTGCGTAATAATAAAGCATATTCTCCTGCTTCACGAGACTGAGTTCATGACAACCGACAGTGGCTTCAAAGCCACCTTATCTTTAATGGATAATGTACTGTGTAGGTGCTTTACATAATGAGAAGAATTTCTTTTATTCATTGGAACCATGGCTAGGGCTAAAAGTAAGCAGGTTAAAACAATAAACGGAGAAAAAGAAATTGGAATAATTTATGCAGCAAGTAGCGCCACCAAACAGTACCAGCAGGTTGGTGTGGCGACCCTGGAAATTTGAAATTATGCTAGTCAAAATTAGTGCCGAATAACTGAAGGAACCGAAAAACTGATTGCCGGATTTGTGAGGGAGGACTGTATCAAGTTTACTGGTGCAAGTGCTTCAGTTGATCATACAGCAGCAAGTAATTTCCCTGCTGAATTGTAGGAAATTATTTCCGAGGGTGGCTACGAGCCACATCAAGTGTTTAATGCTGACAAGACAAGCATTTTTTGGAAGAAAATGCCAACACGAACTTATATCAGTCAGCAAGAGAAAAGTGTACCAGGTTTCAAAGCAGCAAAGGATCGCTTCACCTTGCTCCTTTGCGGTAATGCATCAGGCGATTTCAAGTACAAGTCCATGGTTATTTACTGCTCTAAGAATCCTCGTGCTTTGAAAGGTGTAGATAAAAACACCTTACCAGTAATTTGGAGGTCAAACCACTCAGCATGGATGACAGGAAATATTTCTTGACTGGCTTAAGCATCACTTTATTCTGAAGTCAAGTTTTACCTGCACAGCAAGAACCTTGCATTCAAGGCTCTCTTCATTCTTGATAATTCCTGTACTCATCCACAAATTTTGCTGGATGTGACCCCACATGTAAAAGTTGTATTTTTACCTCCAAATACATCTTTAATACAACCACTGTATCGGGGAATTAAGTCAATCAAGTGTTACTACACACAAAAAAGTTATGAAAAAAAACTAGTTGTATCAATGGACTGACTCCAACCTGCCAGTACCAAGTTTCTGGAATAAATTTAACATTGCAGATGCCATCAGCTATGCTAGAAGTGCATGGAATGAAGTGCCCCGATCAACATTAAATGAAGGCTGGGGAAAGTTTTGGCCTTCTGTAGTTAATTCTTTCACTATTTTTTTCCTTGCTTGAGAGTCAGGTTCAGGAAATTGTTTAGCTGGCAAGAGATTACCAGGTGATGGTTTTGAAGATATGAATGAAGATGTGAATGAGCTCTTAGATGATGATGATGATGAAGACAGGAGTCCAGAGAAAATGTTGGCAAAGCTCGATGCAGATACAAGGGAGCCACATAACAGATGAACCTGAAGAAAAACAATTAACATTGCAGCATTTACGTGAGCAGTTCCATATTATTGGTAAAGTTGCAGACTTTTTCACTGAAGAGGACCCTGACAAATCTAGAAGCAATGCCTTGAAACAGGGTCTAGACCAGCTGATGATGCTTTACCGTCAGCTGTATAATGTATAATGTACTGCAGGGTAAAAGAGCCCAGAGATCATTACAGAATTTATGCACACTCCAATACAAAAATCAACTTTAGTACCAGAACCTCTACCATCCACTCCTGCCGACAACCAACAACCATACACCTCAGCCCAGTAGGGCCAAACCATGCATCTCCACTCTTTCCACAATCATCCACACACACAAGCACCCACAATTTAAGGTAAGAAATACTATTATCTCTGTTGCATTTTTAGTCTTAAAAGCAAAAACATCACAATGAACTAAAATTACATATCCACTTTTATTTTTGTAAGATCTGTTGGTCTAAAAAAAAGTTGTTTGGCTTTATGGGGGCTCCCAGGAACATAACTATTTTTCCCACAAGTTCTTCAATTTATCCAACACGGTTTTACCTAACACATTGTTTTCAGTAACATAGCTACCGTGTAATATAACTGTCTACACATTTGTTTGGTAATACGAGTCAGGAACTACAGATTTAATTAGCTGAAAACCATCACTGAACAGGAGCACACCCTCCCACCAATGTCTGGACACAGAGTTGTGGAGTAACTCCAGGCCAGCCCCCACACTATTATCACTTACTTACTAAGCATTTAGATAAAAGCTTACACTAGTCTGGATGATTACAATTGTCATACATAGTAACATGTGTAAATGACCTAGGATAACTCCATGCAAGTCTAATAAAGCAAATTCCTAATCAGCAGAGGCAGCTAAATTTAATCCTGAAGTTTTTCTTTGGAAATGGCAATAAAATTATCCTGATGACAAATGCAAAGTCTCACCAACAATTGGTCCAACTTCTGCTCCAAGGTCTTTGAGTCTTGAGTAAAGTTCATCATCATCAAGCCTGGAGATGTCAAGGCCATCTATAATCATACTTGTTTCTGATGATGCCTAGAAGGGAAGAACAGTAAAATTATAGGTACTGTATTCTCTCTTGCAGTTGAAAAAAAAAATGAATGCAGTGAAGATTTCATGAGATCATAGCTCAGTTTTGCTCATGGTAATTAGATATGGTCCCTGAGAACAGTTTGGGGACACCATCTAACATCACCCCTCCCTCCCCCATTAAACATGGTATGATGCAAATGTTTCAAAACTCCAAGTGCACAGGCATCACCTACATTCTACATTTGTCGGCAACTCCTTAAATGTTTATGTACATACAAGTGACATGTTCAGCAAGCAACACGAGTGTGTGTTGCTGGTATTAACCAACATAAATATGACCCAGTGTACATAATTCTTTAGTACAGTACAGTACTTGTCCTAGTGTATAAGTACTTAATTGTCATCAACTATCAGGCAGAGACATTTTCTCACAAATGTTCCAAACCAATGTCTTAAGCGGCAATTTACGAAGCTTCACATCATATAAGAGAATCCCCATTAAAAACTTCTCCATGTGAACACTTACAAATTGGGGAACTCAAATACGGTACAAACTATATTCAGCACTGAAATCATTACTGAAAAGATACTTTGCAATTCTGAAAGGCCACTTGTTAGAAAAATATAATTACTGAATGAATGAGACTGGAGGCAGTGATAATGTCATGTCTAAGGGCAATGTGTGGTGTAAATATCATGCAGAGAATTCGTAGTGTGGAAATTAGGAGGTGGTGTGGAGTTACAAAAAGTATTATTCAGGGGGGCTGAAGAGGGGTTGTTGAGGTGGTTTGGTTATTTAGCAAAATAGGATGATTTGGAGAGGGTATATATCTGTAGTGGAGGGTAGGAAGGGTAGGGGCTGTCCTAGTTAAGGATGGAGGGGGGTAAAAGAGGTTTTGTGTGCAAGGGGCTTGGACATGGAGTATGCATGCATAGGCATGTTAGGAGTGAATGGAGACAAATGGTTTTTGGGACCTGACAAACTGTTTGGAATACAAGCATGGTAATATTCTGTGAAAGGATTCAGGAAAACCAGTTAGCCAGACTAGAGTCCTGGAGGTAGAATTACAATGCCTGCACATTAAAGGAGGGGTTTGGGATATTGGCTGTTTGGAGTGACATCTAAACATATTCGAGTTTCTGCAATGACACTGATTATGTGTGAATGATGATGAAACTTTTTTTGGGGTCGCCCCACCTTGGTAGATAACAGCCAATGTGTTAAAAAAAAGGTACATTATATAAAGTAATATACCAATAAACAAAAAATTTATTCAGTACAGATCCACATCCCTTTATCTGAAATTCTGCAATTTGAAAAGTTCCGAAAATCGAAGTTTTTTGTGGAGTGTGGCGCATCAGTCATCTCCGTGCTGGTTCATGCCGCCATGTGGCGGCATCGAGAATCATTCTGAAATTCAAAAAAGTCTGAAATTCATTATTATAATAAAAAAGAAACGCTAAACCACAAGGGCTATACAGCACTGAAATTCAAAACAATACAGGCCTCAAGGGTTTCAGATAAAGGAATGTGCACCTGTACTAATAATACAAATACCAATATAATCAAACTAAGCACTAAACCCAAAAGGGTTATCTAATACTGTACAAAGTAACAATTTTTGTTAGTTGCTTTATTAAGTAGTTTATCCTCCAAATAAACTGCTGCTTAAAATTTCTAGAAAATAATTTGTTTGAATGTTCACAATGTAAGTTTCTATGGATCACGCAAAACTGGTTCCAAGTGACTTATCTGGAAGGGTAGAGCATCGTAACTCAGACATTCTTATCTTCTGTAATCTATATAGTCATTTAGGTTGCCAGATGTGTAGCCAAACAGTTTTTAAACAGTAAAACACTACAATAATGATCTCAAAGCTGTCAGAAAAGTGTGTTCTACAGCCACTTTCCCAGGTTGTCTGAGGAAATCAGTCTGAAGGTTAACATGACATGCTTTAAAAAAAAAAAAAAATGCTGGAAGAATTAATCAATGGCCCTTTGCATATGAAACTGGAACTTTATTCTACGTGGCTTTCTTGTATAGTGATGTACATCTCTCGTACATTAAGTTAAAAGCTTTAATTACCATCTCTAAGTTTCAAACCCTCTCAGTATATCATACAGTACATGAATTTTAAACAGTGACATGCTAATGCTAATCTTCGTACAATCAGATTTTCTACTATAATCTCTAAGTTCCCAGGACATTTAACATACAATATATTAACATTAGCTTTCAGATGCCCTTACACTAGTCAAATGACAGCAAGTTTGCTGGCCTGGGTAACTTTTCAGTGAGACCCTGCTGTTCATTACAATTATTTGAGAACATCTTATTCAGCTTTTCAAGGAGACCTTGTGTTCATTACAATTATCTGAGAACACAGTATTCAGTTAATGATTTTTCTAGTGAAATTCTCTCCACTGCATAATTTATCATATCCTCTATATACCATACTGTATCATGAACCACAAAGATCTTTCATTCATATAACACTTTACTAGGTTTGGTTAAATTCTTCAGGCTAGACACAATCTATTTACGGCACTGATAGTATACCACAATTTTTATGAACACCTACTACCCAATTTAAAGCTTGAGCAACAGTGAAAAATTTGCAGATCACACAAATACACTATACATGGAATTTTGTAATACAGTAGACCCTCCCTTTTTGTCATTAATCCGTTCCAGAGAGTCTGACGAAATGTGAACTTGACGAAAACAAACTATTTTCCTCGTAAGAAATAATGTAAATCCAATTAATCCGTTCCAGACTTCCAAAAGTATTAACAAAAAATAACTTTTTTTAGAGACTAAATATAGATTTACATACAGAAAAGAATGACAAATACAGTATATTATAAAGCACTAATAACATGTATAAATGAACATCACACTTACCTTTTTGATGTATGGAAGACAGGGAGGATTGATTATTGTTTGGAAGGGAAATCCCCCTCCATTAAGACTTCAGGTACCAAGTCCTTTTCCAGGGTTACTTCCCTTCTTTGTTTTTTAATGGCATTAGTACCAGCTTGAGTCACTGGACCCCTGTCGCACAAAAAAAACTCTAGAGAGCTCTTGCAGCTCTACCCTCTACCACAATCACTACCACCATCACACCCACTATCACCTTCTACCATTATCACTACCGTCATCACTTTCGTATTTTTCTACAATCTTTTTCTTTAATTCTATCGTTTCTCTCACCTTTACCAAAGGACTGGCACTAGCAGCTTTCTTTGGGCCCATGGTGGCTTATTTAGCAGTCACACAAAATAATCAAGTGCAAAAAACAATGAATTATTATGAAATGTTTCCTACGACCTCACAGGATAAAGTTCACTTGCCAAGAATCAAAGCGACATTGCCTCAGAATGTGTGTGTGGGAGGTTGTGTGCACGTGAGCACACTCAGACATGTTCCGTACCACTGACGAGAACAGAGGAAAGTAACGAAAACTAAGCCAATATTTTACGAAAAGTCGGCGATAACTGAAATTCACGAAAACAGAGCCCAACAAAAAAGGAGGGTCCACTGTAGTATTGTACAAATTATATAACCCAGCTTTTCATTAACAGCCTAGGAAATTAAAACATACTATTAACATCATGACAAAGATTTCAAATGCTGTACTGTATAAAATACTGCAGCATGATAAACATGAGGTTTGCCTAGGTTAATACAAGATTTTGTTTGGACTTTTAACTCAGAGGGTTAGCTACCCAGGATAACCTAATAATGTCAGTGCATCATTGGAGACTGGTTTCCACTGGGGTACTTTAATCTTGCCCTCACAGTATGCAACCCACAACAGCTAACACCCAGGGTACCTACTTGCTTCTACATGAGCAGCAACAGCATGTGTAAGGAAACATGCCCAACATATCCACTGGTGTTGGGAATCAAATCAAGCCACAAGACAGTACAAATGTACAGCACCACATTTCTCCATTTCATTACCATAATGTCACAAAACAGTTAATTATCATTATACTGTCAAGTATCTAATTTCATTGCTGTGGGCAAAATTGATGGTCTTGTCTATTTTAACCTGTAAACAGTCCAAACATACATATACGTTTTTACCGCTAGTGCCCCAAACGTATATACAGTGGACCCTCGACTAACGCTTTTAATCCGTTCCTGAGAGCTCATCGTTAGTCAAAATTATCGTTAGTCAAGTTAATTTTCCCCATAAGAAATAATGGAAATCAAATTAATCCGTGTAGGACACCCCAAAGTATGAAAAAAAAATTGTTTTTACGAACATGAAATATTAATTTTAATACACACAAACTGAAGAAGACATGCACAGTTACATGACACTTACCTTTATTGAAGATCTGGTGATGATTGATGGGATGGGAGGAGGGGAGAGTGTTGATGGTTAGTGTTTAGAAGGGGAATCCCTTTCCATTAGGACTCGACGGCAAGTCCTTTTCCGGGGTTACTTCCCTTCCCTTTAAATCTCTCAAACCATCCTTTGCTGGCCTTAAATTCACTCACATCACCACTAGTTGCTGGCATTTTTTTAATTAAATCGTCATGCAACTTCCTAGCCTTTTCACATATGATCGCTTGAGAGATGCTATCTCCTGCTATCTGTTTTTCGTTTATCCACACCAATAACAGTCTCTCAACATCTTCGAGTACTTGCGATCTCAGTTTCGAAAACAGTTTCACCTTTGGCAAGAACAGCTTCCTTGATTGCCGTTTTCTTGCCCACAATAGTAGCGATGGTTGATTGGGGTTTTGTGTACAACCTGGCCAGCTCGGAGACACGCACTCCACTTTCATACTTAGCAATGATTTCTTTCTTCATATCCATAGTAATTCTCACCCTTTTTGCTGTAGGGTTGGCACTAGAAGCTTTCTTGGGGCCCATGGTGACTTATTTTGCAGGTGCAATCACTAAAAAGGCTGTGATAATATGAAATGTTCCGATTGTATGCTTGGAAGCGACCGCGGTGGCTGACTGGCTTGTAAACGCTGGCCAGAAGTGGACGCGTCTCAGACGGAACGAATAGTGTTTGGTCGAGTTTTTTAGCGCTAGTCGAGGCAAAATTTTTGCGTTAAAATGTATCGCTAGTCGGATTTATTGTTAATCGATGCCATCGTTGGTCGAGGGTCCACTGTATATATGTTTTATTTGTCATACATTCAACATTGCCATGATAAGTCTGAGTCACCTAGACATGAGAGAATGGGTGTGTGCACTCACTGTGCACCATATTGAAATAATTGGGGATGCCTGGGTACCATATATTCTTTTTTCCTATTAAGAAAAAAAAAAAAGTTTTTCTCAAAAAAGTTGGGGCACTACAGGAGAGAACGTATATACAGTGGACCCTCGACTAACACCATTAATCTGTTCCTGAGAGCTCATCGTTAGTCAAAATAATCGTTAGTCAAGTTAATTTTTCCCATAAGAAATAATGGAAATCAAATTAATCTGTGCAAGACACCCAAAAGTACTGAAAAAAAAAAAATTTAACACATGAAATATTAATTTTAATACACAAACTGAAGAAGACATGCACAGTTACATGACACTTACCTTTATTGAAGATCTGGTGACGATTGATGGGATGGGAAGAGGGGAGTGTTGATGGTCTTAGTGTTTAGAAGGGGAATCCCCTTCCATTAGGACTTGAGGTGGCAAGTCCTTTTTCGGGGTTACTTCCCTTCTTTTAATGCCACTAGGACCAGCTTGAGAGTCACTGGACCTCTGTTGCACAACATATCTGCCCATAGAGGCCTGTACCTCCCGTTCCTTTATGACATTCCTAAAGTGTTTCACAACATTGTCAGTGTCACCATTAAACACTTGTTCAGGTTTCAGTCCTTCACTGTCTATGTACTCCTTGAATTCTTGCACATATTTTTCAGCTGCTTTTTGGTCCAAACTGGCAGCCTCACCATGCCTTATCACACTATGTATGCCACTACGATTCTTAAATCTATCAAACCAACCTTTTCTGGCCTTAAATTCACTCACATCACCACTAGTTGCTGGCATTTTTCTAATTAAATCATCATGCAACTTCCTAGCCTTTTCACATATGATCGCTTGAGAGATGCTATCTCCTGCTATCTGTTTTTCGTTTATCCATACCTATAACAGTCTCTCAACATCTATCACTTGCGATCTCAGTTTCGAAAATATAGTTGCACCTTTGGCAAGAACAGCTTCCTTGATTGCCGTTTTCTTGGCCACAATAGTAGCGATGGTTGATTGGGGTTTTGTGTACAGCCTGGCCAGCTCGAAGACATGCGCTCCACTTTCATACTTAGCAATGATCTCTTTCTTCATATCCATAGTAATTCTCACCCTTTTTGCTGTAGGGTTGGCACTAGAAACTTTCTTGGGGCCCATGGTGACTTATTTTGCAGGTGCAATCACTAAAAAGGCTGTGATAATATGAAATGTTCCGATTGTATGCTTGGAAGCGACTGCGGTGGCTGGCTGGCTTGTAAACACTGGCCAGAAGTGGACACGTCTCAGACGGAACGAATAGCGCTGGTCGAGTTTTTTAGCGCTAATCGAGGCAAAATTTTTGCGATAAAATGTATCGCTAGTCAGATCTATCGTTAATCGATGATATCACTGGTCGAGGGTCCACTGTATATGTTTGGACCATTTACGGATTAAGGTGCAAACAAAATTTAATTTTGTCATTAAATCACTAAAATTCACAATGAACATATATACAGAGAGCAAGATATGAGTCGCCTGTCATTTCATACCTCTTCAATAACAAAAACATAAAGTGGGACCAAGTAAACCAAGTCCTAACCGATATAAGCTGGGAAGATATACTAAGCAACACAGACCCAAACTTATGCCTAGAACAGATTAACTCGGTGGCACTCGATGTATGCACAAGGCTTATTCCTCTAAGAGAAAGGAGGAGTAGATGTAAAATAGAAAGAGACAGGCGCTCCCTTTACAGGCGACGGAAAAGAATAACAGAGCGGCTAAAAGAGGTCAATATATCTGAAATGCGTAGGGAGACACTGGTCAGAGAAATAGCAAGCATCGAACTTAAGCTAAAAGAATCCTTTAGGAGTCAGGAATCGCAGGAAGAACTAAAAGCCATAAATGAAATCGAAAGAAACCCAAAGTATTTCTTCTCCTATGCCAAATCAAAATCGAGAACAACGTCCAGTATTGGGCCCTACTTAAACAAGATGGGTCCTACACAGATGACAGCAAGGAAATGAGTGAGCTACTCAAGTCCCAATATGACTCAGTTTTTAGCAAGCCGCTAACCAGACAGAGTCGAAGATCAAAATTAATTTTTTATGGGAGAGCCACAAAATTTGATTAACACAAGCCTATCCGATGTTATCCTGACGCCAAATGACTTCAAACAGGCGATAAATGACATGCCCATGCACTCTGCCCCAGGGCCAGACTCATGGAACTCTGTCTTCATCAAGAACTGCAAGAAGCCCCTATCACGAGCCTTTTCCATCCTATGGAGAGGGAGCATGGACACGGGGGTCGTCCCACAGTTACTAAAAACAAGAGACATAGCCCCACTCCACAAAGGGGGCAGTAAAGCAACAGCAAAGAACTACAGACCAATAGCACTAACATCCCATATCATAAAAATCTTTGAAAGGGTCCTAAGAAGCAAGATCACCACCCATCTAGAAACCCATCAGTTACACAACCCAGGGCAACATGGGTTAAGAACAGGTCGCTCCTGTCTGTCTCAACTATTGGATCACTACGACAAGGTCCTAAATGCACTAGAAGACAAAAAGAATGCAGATGTAATATATACAGACTTTGCAAAAGCCTTCGACAAGTGTGACCATGGCGTAATAGCGCACAAAATGCGTGCTAAAGGAATAACAGGAAAAGTCGGTCGATGGATCTATAATTTCCTCACTAACAGAACACAGAGAGTAGTCGTCAACAGAGTAAAGTCCGAGGCAGCTACGGTGAAAAGCTGTTCCACAAGGCACAGTACTCGCTCCCATCTTGTTCCTCATCCTCATATCCGACAGACAAGGATGTCAGCCACAGCACCGTGTCTTCCTTTGCAGATGACACCCGAATCTGCATGACAGTGTCTTCCATTGCAGACACTGCAAAGCTCCAGGCGGACATCAACCAAATCTTTCAGTGGGCTGCAGAAAACAATATGAAGTTCAACGATGAGAAATTTCAATTACTCAGATATGGTAAACATGAGGAAATTAAATCTTCATCAGAGTACAAAACAAATTCTGGCCACAAAATAGAGCGAAACACCAACGTCAAAGACCTGGAGTGATCATGTCGGAGGATCTCACCTTCAAGGACCATAACATTGTATCAATCGCATCTGCTAGAAAAATGACAGGATGGATAATGAGAACCTTCAAAACTAGGGAGGCCAAGCCCATGATGACACTCTTCAGGTCACTCGTTCTATCTAGGCTGGAATATTGCTGCACACTAACAGCACCTTTCAAGGCAGGTGAAATTGCCGACCTAGAAAATGTACAGAGAACTTTCACAGCGCGCATAACGGAGATAAAACACCTCAATTATTGGGAGCGCTTGAGGTTCCTAAACCTGTATTCCCTGGAACGCAGGAGGGAGAGATACATGATTATATACACCTGGAAAATCCTAGAGGGACTAGTACCGAACTTGCACACGAAAATCACTCACTACGAAAGCAAAAGACTTGGCAGACGATGCACCATCCCCCCAATGAAAAGCAGGGGTGTCACTAGCACGTTAAGAGACCATACAATAAGTGTCAGGGGCCCGAGACTGTTCAACTGCCTCCCAGCACACATAAGGGGGATTACCAACAGACCCCTGGCAGTCTTCAAGCTGGCACTGGATAAGCACCTAAAGTCAGTTCCTGATCAGCCGGGCTGTGGCTCGTACGTTGGTTTGCATGCAGCCAGCAGCAACAGCCTGGTTGATCAGGCTCTGATCCACCAGGAGGCCTGGTCACAGACCGGGCCGCGGGGGCGTTGACCCCTGGAACTCTCTCCAGGTATGATGTGGGGCTGAATCCCCCAAACAAGGTAGAACAGAGGAAAATATCCCAACATCTACTGCTCATGACACCCAGCAATAAATAAATACTGGAGAGTTAGTCTACAAGCTAGGGAGAATTAAAAAAGACTCCACTGTAATGATGCACTTTATTGGGTTATCCTGGGTATCCCTCATCCCACTGAAGTAAAATAATCCAAATAAAATGTACATTTGACTACACAATTGTATAAGCATGTGAACATACACCAGCAAGACGAACCTACTGTTTTTGTACCTTTACTGTTTTGTTTTAATTACAACAAAGCTAACTGTAACAGCACACATTTGCAGCAGTACTGCAATTTACCAAAATTGGTTAAGTGCATGAAGCTCACAATAGAGCCCCTTATCACTTAACCATAATGAAAAGATAGTCCTTTTAAAAACTCAAAGCCTATGTGGACAAAAAATTTACCATTCATAATTACAATTTTTATAAAATAATTAATATTTATGGGCTTCACAAATATACTATATAGAAGTAATGAGAATAGTACACTATATACAAACATGAAAAAATAAAGACTGAAGTTGTAGCTACATGATAAAAACCCAAGGTAAAACATGACTAGGAACTATACTTCGTAATTTCCTCTTGGGCAGATCAGGTTTCCCAGCAGTGCAGAGTTTAGAATCGGTGAATGTCCATCAGAAAATTCTGCATAGTCCTCCTAAGGAAGAGAATTTATTTAAAAAAAAAATTACTGGGGCCAAAATTCACAGATCCCTCATCTTGGAGTATGTATGTATGCACATCAGACATTTTAATGCCTAATAACTAAATTAGCTAACTTCAATTTCAAATGTGTTGATACTATATGATGTGATGAATAGTTTTGAAAACCGACAAGTTGAAGAACTGAGACACTCATGCAACATATGGGAATCTTTATTGAAGAAACGTTTCACCATACAGTGGCTTCATCAGTCCAATACAAAGTAGAGAAGGGTAAGGAGAGGAGTAGTTTGAGGTGATCAGTCCCTCAGCCTGGAATCAATGTGTTCAGTCCATCACTTGTAGGAAGTACAGCATTGAGCCAGGGAGGTGGCTTATATACTGCAGTCAGGCGACTCGAAGCAGGATGAGGCGGGATCACAGTGGGACCTGCCACTAGTGTAAGTAGGTCGTCGTCCAAAAGTTGGACAAGCATTGAAGTCTTTGTACCAAGATCCCATGATGTTGCAGTGTCTGACAGATGTGATGAATGGTTATGAAGACAATCTCTTAAGATGCTCTTAATGCCTTTTATAATTCCAGACTGTACAAAATTGACTAATTTTCCTCTCAAATACTGCATTATGTGAATACTTTTTACTAAACACTAATCTTTACAGCAAGATCAATCCTTCTCACATTTTGCACAGAACGCACAGAGGGTATTTCTAATTCGGAATGGAACCTTAGATGACAAAATGCGTTCCCCTAGTATTTAACAGTTAAGAAATATGTGTGGTCAAGTATACATTCCTTAACTACTGCTAAGCAAAGATAACGTTCTGTCAAATTGATTGATTACCTAAGAGCACATAATCAACCTTACAATGACATTCAGTAGTCATTACCATACCACATTTAGATTACAATGTTAAAATTTAGCTCATCACTGTTGTATGGTGGTGTTAAGCAACATTACCAGTTTTTCAAATCACCACTAGTGAATTATCCAGGTGGCAGGTTTGGAGACTTGTTAAAATACCATATAACCATAACTTAATCTAAACCTAAATCATGTTGGGCAAGTCAAAGAGACTTCTGATCGATCAATGATTTGATAACATTTGAAAGATCACTGGAATTCTTTTATGCACATATTGATCATGTGTAAATTAAGAGTTCAATCTATATAAGTTCAGTTTTTGGCGAATCATATTATGAAGAGGCAATTACAATACAAAAGTTTGTGTACAAACTAACAATTACAAACTATACACATTTTAGATATAAGAGGGCAGATCAAAAAGTTTTTGCATCCATTACCTTTTCTTTACCAGCTTACAACCTAGCCATACTGAATCCTGTTTATGGGTCATTATATTACCATGCCTACTGTGGCACTTATTCCAATGTGTTACCAGTTTGTTGATGTCTTTCTTAGAATTCTGTTGGTCGATTACATATCCTATGAAGGCTAGCAGGCAACACATCTGTACTAAACAATGTCCTCTAAAGGAATTTCTTCATAGGACCAGACAGATGGGAATCGCTAACAGCAAAATCAACTAATTTTATTTTTGTCAGGAAAAACAATGGATGCAAAGTTTTTTTTTGCCCTGCCCTTGTACAAAAGTGACACCTTAAGATATCAGTAAAATTCTTCAATGGGTTTAAATCCACTGGGGGTCTTCATTTTATTTGTGTTCTCCAATCACACATAGTTACTATACATGTATCAATCCTAACATTACATAGCATATTTTCATTCTTGACATGACAACCTATATTTATAAAACAGCTAACACATCTACTTTCATGTTATATAGTTTACAATATATTAGTAGTTTTATGCAAATACAGTCCCATGTGTAAATCTCAAGTAAAATTTGGGAATATCTTAGGGCCTTAACCTATTTTATAAAGTGTCATAGATTATCATTTGTGACAGACCAAATACTTATGAAACAGGCTATGTACATAGACCCAAGTCTAATAATGTTTGATTTTATTGGATTATCCTCGGTTGAAACTACATAAGAACATAAAGGAGCACTGCAGCAGGCCTACTAGCCCATAATGTAATATATATGTATGCCCACAACTTTTATTCTAAAAGCCTTCCAATATCATTGCAAAAAACTTATACGAACTGTAAAACCGTTGTAAGTTGTTTTAGACGGGAAATTATGCTACTTACCGAACAAAATGTGCAGATGGAACAAAAAATAATAAAGCCAATATATTTTAAATTAATTCAGTGTTTAAGATATTTAACTGGGACAGAATTTGCAAAAATACATTCAAATTGAATGTATTCCAATTAAAAATACTAGTAGGAAACCACTAGTTACTAGAGCTTGAAACGAGTTGATCAAAAATGACTAGCAGTGACATTGAAGTTATTACCTTGAGAAACTTTGAAAATATTAGCATGGGTCCGTAGGCCTACTGTAACACTATTTTAATAATTACTAATGAGTGACGACGTAGATAAATGATTGAAATAAAGCTTGGGGTAATATATATATAACTACTAATGCAAAGCAGGAGACTAATTTTAAAATCAGTGGTCAACCCGGCAGGGCCGGATGTTCGCCTCATTCCACATGTTACATCAAAACAACATTTACTCCATTACCTGGAAACCCAACCTAGTATAACAGGGAGACACCAAGACATACTAAACAGTAGTAGGACACAAGGTAGACGTACCATGGTGTGTGTGGTGGATGAGGAGTGTGAGGCTGGTAGAGGGTGTGTGGTAAGCGCTGGTAGCAGCAGCAGTCACTACTGACTCACCACCACAACAACGACCATCATGCACACTTCCCGCGCAAACCTTCACTACTACCTACCTACCTATCTTAATACCTCTACCCTTCTCATCATAACCATTCACTACTACTATACTATTTCTAACCTGAACTTTTATGTCGTTAATGGGTAAATCTTCGTCGTCTGAAGAAAAATCCCCTTTATATTGCTCAACTGGAGCAACATATTTTTCATATAGTCGTCTGTATTCCAGTTTTTTTGCATTTGGTGACGGTAAAGCCACTCCATGGGATATTAGTTCATTTTTTAATTGTTCTTTTGTAAATCCAGACATGGTTTGGGTTACAATTATTGAGAGAGCGGTAGTGTAAGACCCCCACACTGTACACCTAATACCAGCACTGAACAAAGTTACTTTCAGTACAGTAGTATAGTTGCTGGGAGCAGCAGCAAATAACCGTAGACATGATTGGTTCTACAGTGAAGGTGGAGGCGGACCCACTAGTGGCCCACCAACAGTAACCTCGCTCTCAACACTCATCACCTCTTGTTTCAACCGCCACATTTAACTCATATATACACAAACACCTACCAGAATCCCCACATTTAACACTCTTATATACATACACTCGCCTTATTCACCATATCTAACTCATATACACCTCAACTACCATATTTAGCATTTATGTAAGTATATACACTCGGGTTTATCTTACATGCACACTCACCTCAAGAGAGGTTCCTTCAGGTAAGTGTAAAATAATCTTGTCAGATGGTTCTGTGGGATCCAATGATACCATATGCTGACATAACAGCTCAGAACATACTGATGATGTAATACTGAGTTCTGGTCCTGGTCTGAGGTAAGCGTTAAATTTCCCTTTAAAATGTTCAATATTAGATAAGTTAGGTGCTTATATTTGGTGGAAATATTAAGCAATGTAACCTAACCTAAGGAAACCCAACGCAACCCAGCCTAACATGATCTTATTCCGCGTGCCTTTGTTAACGTTACTCCATAAATGGTTGTAACTATAACCATAATTTTTAAAGGGGTGGACCGGTAAGCCAGCGGAACGCCTCGGTAAGATGACCAAAAGCTCAAACTGCGGGTCATATAATTATGACCCACGTCAGGAAACACTTGTCCTGTTTCCTGACGAACGTTACTTAACCATTGTTAACGTTAATACCACAAAATTTTTATAATCATAACTACGGGAATTTTTGAATTTTCTTAAATTCAGCATGTATAAATTTTAATTTTATAATAATTGTATATTAAAATGTGATGCTGATTTGACCTTTCGAGAAATTTCGAGTGAGGGGAGATGCAGAACAGCTCAGGGAGTGAAGCAGGGGATGCCATTTATAATTTGTGAGCACTGGTTGTTGCGGAAATTTCAGCTAATAATTCGGCGTCTTAAGATTTCGTTCGGATTTTTAACCCCGGAGGGTTAGCCACCCAGGATAACTCAAGAAAGTCAGTGCGTCATCGAGGACTGTAACTTATTTCCATTGGGGTCCTCAATCTTGTCCCCCAGGATGCGACCCACACCAGTCGACTAACACCCAGGTACCTATTTGCTGATAGGTGAACAGGACAACAGGTGTAAGGAAACGTGTCGAAATGTTTCCACCCGCCGGGAATCGAACCCGGGCCCTCCGTGTGTGAAGCGCGAGCTTTAGCCACCAGACCACCGAGCTAAATTGGGGGTTTCGGCCTGAATTTGTAATAGGAATCCATGTTACTGTCTCCTTCTGAAGACTTGGGACAGGAAATTTGCGGAACCTCAAGAATTACGTGTGGATGGCTGAAGATAAAGGATGCGACCATCACTCAAGTGTGCCATTAGTCATTGCATTTAGATTTCTAGGTGGCCAGTGTAGGGTCTAGGTGTCAGGCCGGTGTTGTGGTGTGATCCATCTACAGTAATTAAATGGTAAGTGATAATACGAACTTCTTTTATGTACCAGTCTAAAGATAGACAATCCAAACAATTTTTTCATGAATGAGCCTCAAAACCCTGCCAATGTATGCCAAATTTCTGACATAACCCTAATTCCACTCTATAGACTGAGAAAGCCATCGACGGCATGACTATGCACTCAGCCCCAGGCTCAGACTCGTGGAACTGTGTTCATTAAGAACTGCAAAAAAAAAAAAACCCTCTCATGGGCCCTAAGTATACTATGGAGAAGGAGCATAGACACAGGTGAGATTCCATAAAAGTGGCAGCAAAGCAGTATTTAAGAACTATATACCAATAGCTTTAACGGCCCACATCATAAAAATCTTTGAAAGAGTTCTAAGAAGCAGGACAGCAACCCAATTGGACTCCCAGAAATTGCGCAATCCAGGGCAACATGGTTTCAGAGCAGGTCCCTCCTGCCTCTCGCAACTATTGGACCACTATATGGTTTTAAAAGCACTGGAAAGCAAACAGAATACAGATGTAGTATACAGAGATTTTGCAAAAGCCTTTGACAAGTGCAATCATGGTGTAATAACACACAAAATGCGTGCTTAAGGGATAACTGGCAAAGTAGGCAGATGGATCTTCAACTTTCTAACCAATCAATCACAGAGAGTAGTGGTAAACAGAGTTACTCGGAAGCTGCCATAGAGAAGAGCTCTGTTCCACAAGGCACAGTACTCGCCCCTATCCAGTTCCTCATCCTCATATCAGACAGAGATGTAAACCATAGCATTGTATCATCCTATGCAGACGATACTAGGGTGTTACTATTTAACTTCATTACCTAACAGAATACTCCATTCTACTGATTACACAGCAACACAGTAAATGACCATATGACCTGTCTTTGTAATACTTATTTGTACTAAATTGTTATCTGTTTTACAATAATTTTTGTACCACTGAATATATCATTGCTTAGTTAATCTTAAATTAATTTTAAGCCTGCCCATAATGCTCAGCTACAAGGGGCTTTGGCATGCTGCACTTTAAAAATTGTATTCCTTGTACTTCTCTGCATCATTTTCAAATTAATAAATAAAAAAAAATAAAAATAAAAGGATGGTAGATTGCTTCAGAGGCCTAAGGAGTTGGCTTTGGCCAAAATATTATACCTCCAAGTTGTGTCATATGCCTTCTCAAGGTGAAAAAATATGGCAATAACTGAGTGGTTATTCGCAAAGGCATTACGAACATACGTATCCAAGCGTAGTATGGGGTCTATGGTAGAACGGCCCTTACGAAAGCCATAGTGGAGAGACAATTGTGTGTCCTTAATTAATACCACACTAAACGTCTATTTACCAGGCGTTCCACCACTTTGCAAACTGCACTGGTAAGAGCAATGGGACGATAGTGGGAGGCTTCATGTCCCGTGGTACCCGGTTTGCGGAAAGAGAGATTACAGAGGTACATAATTGGTCCAGGGACTGGGCTCCAAAGTTTTGATAGCTGAGCAAGTTACAGAGGTAATGAACTCACAATTTACAAAGGTAATGAACTCACAATTTACAAAGGTAATGAACTCACAATTTACAAAGGTAATGAACTCCAGGTAAGTCTGGTCACAATCATGACAAGTTACAAAGGTATTTACAGATTACAGAGGTACGTAATGGGTCCAGGGACTGGGCCCCCAAAGTTTTGATAGCTGAACTAGGTACAAAGGTAATGAGCTCACAAGTTACAAAGGTAATGAATTCTGTAGAATGGTTACTTACGTTTATACTTTGGCTACAATCATGAACAAATTATAGAGTAATGAGCTGTTGAAGAACTCCTTGTGACCAAATAAGATGGAAAAGGCGTAATAGGACTGCAAGGGCTAACTGATGTAAATGTTGTAGCATACGAATATGAATGTCGTCGGGCCCAGCTGCCGATGACCTGCAAGCTGAGAGTGTTGCCTCCAGTTCCTGAAGTGTAAAAGGCACATTATACTGTTCTTATCCGAGAGAAGAAAAGTCAAAGGGTGCTAACTCTCTGGCAGACTTTGAGGAAAAAAACGAGGGGCATAGATGGAGCCCCTGAGAAATACGAACCAGATGACTGCCAGTTTCATTGGCAACATCTAGTGGGTTTGCTATATCAACACCGCAACCCGCAGAACAGGAGCCTGGTCAGGAGAATATTTACCAGAATATTTACGTTTCAAAGGTACTGCACGAGCACAGGCAGGAGACCACCAAGGCATGCATTTCTGAGAATGCCTGCCCGAAGTTTGGGGTATAGAATGAGAAGCTGGGGTTAAAACAGAGGACGAGAAGAGGTGTAAAAGCTCATCAGTGGAGGACGAAGAAGGAACCTCACTAAAAACAGTTAGTCGTGAGTAAAGGTTCAAATTTGCCTGATCAAATTGCCAGCGTGGGTTATGAAGAGGTAGTGAATATGAAGGGGAAGTAAGAATGATTGTTAAATGATTGCTGTCATGTAAATCCGGGAGAACAGACCAGGTGAAGTCTAATGCGGCGGAGGAAGAGCAGACTGAGAGATCGATGCAAGAGAGAGTGAGAGTCTGAGGATCAAAATGGGTGTGAGTACCTGTATTTAAAACATGGAGGGGGTGGGTAGCAAGAAAAGCCTCTAACTGAATGCCACAGGAATCACAGTGAGACCCCCCCCCCAGAGGAAATGATGGGCATTAAAATCGCCAAGTAACAGAAGCGGTGGTGGTAATGACGAAACAAGAAAGGCAATATCCGGAATAGATAATGCCCGAGAAGGAGAGAGATATAAAGAACAGAGCGTATACCACCTATGCAAGTGTATACGAGTTGCTGTGTAATGCAGCGAAGTACGAACAAATAGCTGATGGTACGGAATATCAGTGCGTAGAAGAAGGGCACTTTCATTAAAGGTCCCATCAGGAAAAGGATCTGAAGAATACAATAAATTATAGCCTGAGATGGGATAGATAACAGCAGTGTGTAATTTTGGTTCCTGTAAGCAAACACCAACAGGGGAAAATTGGGAGAGTAAAATCTGAAGCTCCCCTGATTACACCTGAGGCTGCGTATATTCCACTGTAAATAGGCCATGATTGGCAACGATAAAGATACCTGAAATCCGCAGGTAAGGGTTCCTATGGACTAGAGGGGTTAGAAAAGTCCACATGCGGAGGCAGCAGAAAACGTTCAAGCAGGGAAGGAATGGTGCACTGCGAAGAAAGGAGTTGCACAGATGGAGGAGAGGAGAGAAGGAACAGAGGGTGGATCAGTGTCCATTGATTCAAATTCAAATTCAAAGTTTATTCTCTATAAGGATTACAATGCTGAGTTTACAGAAATTTGGTTATTGTGTGGTTTACATGTAGTAAAATAGTGGCCCGGTGGCCTGGTGGCTAAAGCTCCCGCTTCACACACGGAGGGCCCGGGTTCGATTCCCGGCGGGTGGAAACATTTCGACACGTTTCCTTACACCTGTTGTCCTGTTCACCTAGCAGCAAATAGGTACCTGGGTGTTAGTCGACTGGTGTGGGTCGCAT